AACGTCCGAGACCACCGAATGACTGCGTCCCACTAGCTTCTTATCTAAAGCAGCGAGCTCCATAGAGAGCTTCCGGCGACAGGCTGTTGTCGTCTTCACTGGCAACACCGTCTCCTCCTTATCGTGGGGGGCAAGTGTGATGACGTTGGAAAAGTTTGAAGCACGTTCGGGGGTAGCTATAGATACACTCATAGAGTAGTTGGCTATGATGATGATAAAATAAACTGAACAAGAATCAGCAGCAGCAAAACACCACATTTATCATTGACGACGACGCGGCAAACTCATTTACTTTAGCGCTCGCCCAAAAATAAATAACATTGTGAACTCCACACACAGTCAAGACACAAAAACGAAAGAGATATTCATTTGAAGCGTTCCCGGAGGCTCCGCTTATGGCCGGTCTTGGTCGTCGTCGTCTCCGTAGACCTTTCTTCAGCACGCATGAGAGCGTCCAGCACTGAAATCGTACCGCCCTTCCTCGTCCTAGCCGCCACCCTAGAGGCTTCTGATGATGACGATGGGCAACTACTATTAGATCCAGACCGTGACAAACGACGTCGCTGGAAGTAGCTTGGTGTGGTAGATCTGTTGTCATACTCGAAAGAGAAGTTCCTCTTGACAGGGGTTGTCGAACTAGGATGTGTTCGTAAACCACCTCTGTTACGATGCATTCTCTGTGTACTCCTCTGCACAGCGTCAGGATCACAACAATAGTCACAACAGTGCTCTCTCGATTCGCCCTTCTTAATCACAAGCTTTTCTCCAAAATGACCCAACAAGAATTCTCGTCTACAGGCCGCCTTAGTAGCATAAGTAGTAAACAAATCAAATGCCGCCAGTTCCCGTTGCTCCTGCGCGTCGATTTGTGGTCGACTATACCTACTCGAAAGCGATACCCCTAATGCCTCACACGTCAACCTCACATATTCCATTCATAATCGGGCAACTTCTCCTTCTTCCTCTTACGAATGTCTTCGAATTTCTTCCCTATAAACCAACGTAGTAGCCCTGCATCTTTACTACTGTACAACAGTACCTAAGACACAGAGCTTGCACTAAAAACACATCAAGACTCCAGGACGAGTAACACTGCTTAAATAGAGATGAATGAATAATAAAATAATAAATCCATTCTAAACTGACGTCAGTAGGTGATACCAACCGTTCACCAACTTTAAAATCGGATTATCACAGAACATGATACACATGCAAAACAACAAATCGTCTTAATCTGTTTTATTCTGCGAGCCGGGGCAAGTACTGAGCTACCAACTTCGTATAAGATTTAGAAGGACGTAGTAGCCTCATTTCAACTAGATGTGAGAAAAGTGTGGTAGTTGCAGTAACAGAGATAGTACACTGCCTGAAAGTATGGTTCAAAGAGACGGATAGAACCAGAAATTGACACTGTGCACTCCAAGTGGACGAGTAAGGAAGAAGGCACGTCAACGATCGTAGTGGGGGTACATTGGAGAGAATTCGTGCCATGAATTTACTATTATTTGTCTTATGACTCAGTAACGAGATATAGATAGATGACCACAGGAAGTAGTAGAGTAAAAGAACGACGGTAAAAAGGTGACGGGTGTGAGGAAATATTGTACACAAGTGTCTTCTGTAATTCTAGATTCTTGTGATACTGGTCTCCCTTGCTAGCCTAGCGTATACTTTATGATTACTGTATTGATCATTAGTTGAGAACCACTTGTTTATAACTCTTGTTGAGTTATCTAATCCTAACAACGGGTCTTGAGACAAAACACCATGTCTGGTCTCCTACGGCGAGCGACTAGCAATGAAAGTAAATCGCGTGTACCCGAGGATGAGTTACGGAATAGCAAGAACGCCGAACTAGTGAACAGTTACATGCGGTTCGGCACAGTTGAAGTGCGCATGTCCTTCAGTTGGACGATACAAGCACTCACTTAATGAAAAAGATGTCGTACAGTGTCATTCTCGTCCCTAGTCATTTTCTTGCCTATCAAACTCACTGTAGTAATACTTACACATTTCGCAGGTTTCCCATCACGGCCAGCTCTGCCGCTCTCCTGATAGTATCCCTCAACAGTTTTACTCAACGTCATGTGAATCACAAAGCGAACATTCGCCTGATGCCAAGTAATAGCAACAACAACACCGCCTCCTTGATTAAGCATTTTTCACTTTATCAACTCCCATCCCGAAAGCA